AGGCTGGCCTCGAACTCACAGAGATCCGCCTGCCTCTGCCTCCCGAGTGCTGGGATTAAAGGCGTGCGCCACCACCGCCCGGCTAGAGCTTCCAGTTTTTGAGAAAGAGAAATTATGAAGTTTTCCAAGCACTTTAGTTCCTCCTTTGTCTAATCCCAAGACTTCTGTTCCTTAAACTAAGCTTCATGGCTAAGAGGGAACTGACCCTGATTGAGTGATGTTGTAAAAGCATTCTCATCGACTGGCAGCTCTGGTAGAGCAGAGGGTTTTGTTATGCCTGTATCTGCCTCAGGAAAACTCACCCCCACCCCCACCCCCGTGCTGCTCAGGACATAGATCTAAGCTGTCCCGAATTAATGCCCACAGACTAAAAGCTTCCACTGGAATTTTTTCCAGCCCATGTTCCTCATAATATTTTTGCATTTCAACTCCAAGTCTTCACCTGGAATCTGCATCCAGAGTCCCATAGTCAGAAAACCAAGGACACGGCTCCTCTACGAACTCCAAGAACCTCTGTACTTGTGCTGTTCTACCTTAACTCCCCTAGTTTTCAAACTCTCTACAAACGAGTATACAAACATCTGCCTCCTATTTCCCTGCCCTATAGCCGCTTTTCTTCCTCAGACTGCTAAATCTGCAGTGGCTGCTTGTTCCTGGACGCTGTTTTCAGGTCCGGCACTATGGAAATTCTACTCTTATCCTAAGTTTCTTCCTACACAATATTCCTATACCTAAACCCTACATTTTTTCTTAATTTAATAGATAGAAATATATATATATATATATATATATATATATATATATATATATATATATATATATATATATATATAGAGAGAGAGAGAGAGAGAGAGAAACCTAGACAGAGAGAGATACTTGCTGTATACAGTTTTTGCTCTCAAAGAATAAAATACCACCGCCTTTAACATTAATACAAAACCAGACATGTCCAGCTGCTTCCGTGGTTCTTTCTCCCCTACTTACTTCCTCTGCACCCAAGTCCCTAGTTCTGGTGCCAATCTGTGGGAGTCCAGCTCCCACCTTTTAAAGGGTTCCTGTGAGGAGGAGAGAGGGATAAGAAACTTTTAGATAGAAAGATAGTGAGGAGGAGAAAGACAGAAACACAGGATATTTTCGGGAGGACCTGGATCAAAACCCACCAGCCCCTTCTGTCTCTTCAAAAGGGCTTTTTATAACAATACCAAAAAGCAGGGCAAAAGACCTCCCCCTTTCTAGATCAACACACACCACACAGCCAATTGTACACCCTTCCAAATACCTGGTAACCATACCCATGGTCAAATCATTCCCTTATGCATCCCTGCTGGGTAAAGCAAGCTCAGATTTTCAGACACTGCATAACTTGTTAATAGGAAACCTCTGTGGGTCTCTACAATTACCTAAACATGTCTTTGTTGCTGAAATATTTTTGAACATTCCCTAATCTATAATGCATATTGCTGAACTGATAGTCTTTTATTTAAAACCAACATGGTATTGATAAAATACTGACAATGACTAGTGCAAAATAAGATATTAACAAATTCATTACTGTATTGTGTGTTTTAATGCATTTGAACAGATCCATTAATGAAGCCACAAAGGGCTACAGGAAGCATGTTAAACTCCCGATATTCACCGAGGACATCCCAAGCTGTGCCAGTGTATGTGAATATAAAACCAAAAATGACATCCAAAGTTCATGACTAGGAGAGACATGCAGTTTATAGAGCAATGGAAGTTGGGGACATAAAAAGAGGGTGGAGGGGAGAGAGAGTTTGAGATTTAGGTAGTATTTTGTTGAAAAGGGATATGTGTATGCCATGCATACATGTCTTTCACATGTGATATGTAGAAAGCAACATGAAGCAAGATTGATCTACATTAGCTACAGTGCTAAAACAAAAGAAATAATTTTTGGTTATATGACTGAAGATTGACTCAGGTAGTTACAACAACATACATTTCCAAGCTAAGTATTCCTACTGCAATTAAATTTTTTCCAGTCCTTATTGCTTACATAGAGACTTACATGTTGTTTCTACTATTCCTTATTTATTTTAAAATATTTGTCTAATCATAAATTATTCTAATCATCTAATCTAATCTAGGAGATTATCATAAACAAATTTTAAGCCAAATATTATCAAGAATTTTATTCACTCTCCATACTCACCTGCTTGATCACAATTGACCTCTATGAACCCATCCCCTGCTCCTTCTCTTTGTCTCTCGCTGGGCATTCTCTCACGTGCTTTGAAGAACGGCTGCCTCACCATGTGAATCTCACGGCATAAGGACGTCCTTTCACGGAACTTCAGTTGAGAATCCACCATTAGACACTTAATATAGCTGTGTGTGTGTGTGTGTGTGTGTGTGTGTGTGTGTGTGTGTGTGTGTGTGTAAGAGAGAGAGAGAGAGAGAGAGAGAGAGAGAGAGAGAGAGAG